CAAAGTCCGGGTTTCTTGAAGCGGCTACACTTCATGCTTACGTAGGTTGAATCTCTTATTCATGTACCAGCATAATACACTTTTTCAAAGATTCAATTAAGAAGTTTGAACTTCATCCTCTTCTCTCATGCAGGATAACAAGCACATACCTCAGGATGACAAATTGTGTGCTTCAATTTCTGACAATAAGCTTTCCACATTGAATTCAGCCTCTAACGTTGTATTAGAGGGGAATTGGGTGTCCCATTACCAGAAATTATATGGACTTTAACCTATCCCTTTCACAGACTTGATCACCAAGTCACTAGTTAATCATTTCGTCAAACGATCAACTAAATTATCTCAAGTCCGGTCACATTACATAGACACAATTCCATGAGTGATCAATTCTCATATTTTACAATGCCTAACTCCCACATGACCATACTTATCATTATACTTGGCTATATGCCTTAGCCAAAGTAGCATTACTATCAATAAGAATAGTATAGGTGAGATTAGTTTTGCCATAAATTAATGTCATAAACCAAGCATCTCAACAATAATGCATTTTCTCTAAGAGAAATCAAGGCCACACAAACTTTGATTCTATAGTGAAACTTAGTGATGCAAGTTTGCTTTCTAGAGGCCCAAAATATGGCACCTCTCCCAAGCAAGAGGATCCATCTCAATGTTGAAGAATCACCTTTAACATGAGAAATCCAACTAACATCAACAAATCCTTCCAAAATTAATGGAAAGCCACTATAAGTCAATACAGTGTGCCTTTGACATATCCTAGTACACGCCTCATTTCATTTCAAATGATGAGAACTAGGATTCAACACGTACCAACTTAATTGTTCTATCACATATGCGATATCTAGCATCATGTAAGTCATGCATACATTGAGCCCCCAATTTGACATGGAATACTCCAGTTGTAAAACTGATTTCCCGTATTAACCATAAGTTTCATACTTGGATCCATTGGGGTCTTTAACTCACTACAATTCCTACTATGGAATTTATGCAAGTACCTTCTCATGCAGAAAAATTGAGAGAAGGACTCTTTCTTGTCGTTCTGGTTGATTCAATACACAGAATCATATTTGCCTCCCCCGTGTCCTACATGGAGAATTGAAATAACAACTTTTTATCAAATTTCACTTATCTTTTATTGGTTCCAAAGATAAGCATGTCTTATACATACAAATGTACGATGATTTCATTACCAGAATCATCATAAATTGTGTACGCATTTTGTCTCCTTGGTTTAAATATTCTTTACGATTGTTGGGACTTTTAGGGACAAGGGTATGCGTACGATAACCTGATACCGGGTGACTAGGATTATGATAGAGTCGTGAACTACGTTCACTTTCCGTAAAGAATATTTCCACCCTCAACAAGCCTAGAGTTACAAGAAATTTCTTCGTAGGATAAAACTATCACCACTTTAGGTTCCAAACTTAAGTACCTAAAGCATATTTAGAAGTTTAGTAGGAAGAAGAATCATTTTTTTTTTGTGTTTTCTCTCATCCGACCACCTCTATTTCTAGAGTCCAAACGGATATAATGCTTGGGGACGAAGCATTGCTTTGCTTCATATAAAAAACGTTGCAATTATTTGACAAGAATATGGATAAATTTTGCTCCATAACTGCCATTATCCATGCAACGTGTCTGGGAATTCAATTTGCAATTCCAAGCATTGCATTGTTTCATGCAAATGGAATTGGAGGGACGTGTTGCTTTAATAAAAAAACTGTAATTACTAAACAATCAACACAACCGGTGGATTAGTGTTTCAACCATTTTTATGCAACTGGACCAAATTCCAACACCATTGCCATATCCCATATGTGTAAGAGTTAGTGCTTAACAAGTATAGGATAGTGGTGGTTACTGGTTAGACATGCTTGCTTTTTCATAGGAGTCAAGGGGTTAATCTGTTAGTGTAACCCAATCTACACATTAGTCGTGTTATCTCCTTAGCATATATTCTACAAAAGTTATGATGCGATCATGAATATGAATTCAGTTTGGATGGAGAGGTTCCCTATGCTTTGGCTATCTAATTTGCTTGTAGGCTGGTTATCAGAGTTTCAGGAGTTAAAGATCACTTTAATGCGGCCCATCATCAAGACGAGCATATCCTTCATCATGGGAATCTAGCCATTAAAATCTAATGACGAGGGAGACGACCAATTTGATGTTTTCGGAGAAGACAAGAGTGCATAATCACACATGCTTACCATCTAAGGTAGACAGATCATTGTCGTAATAAGTGATGGAGCCATGTTAAATCCAAAGGCTATTCTCAACTTTCACATATAAAAAAATTTACATGTAAAATGTATAACAAATTTTAAAAATAGACTAGTTGGTAAGATACTAGTCTTCATCGTCAATGATCATGCTTCAAATTTCTTAAGTATTATATTTTTTAGCCCCATTGTTCAAATTTTCGACTCCGTCACTGACCCTAATTATCTATTCAAGTCATGGAATTAGTTGATAAAAACATAAAGTTTTTGTTACATGAAATGAACTACAAACGGACTTGACAAATTATATATCTTGCCCTATAGTCAACTACATAGAGCTAAAGAATCGGCCATTTAATTGATGAATCATAGTTCATAGCTAGGCTCCCCCTCTGCTCTTACTGCAAGTCACGGGAACGAGATGGTGTCAGATCCTTATCTCTTTTTAGTTTTTCCTTCCTTTTCTTTTCTGCTGTCTACCTTTTCTTGGGGAACATTTGCCTCCGTTGACTAGAAGTCAGATGACGTTTTTACAGCAAAAAGTTATAGAGAGCCAATTATCACTGTGACGGTAAATTTGTCTTCTGCACAAGATTTTCCTCTTCACAATTGCAAGGAGCGGGCACGATCAGATCGGCCTCAACCTCAATGACGAAGAAAAAGAGTAAGCATTATTTTGTCAACTTCCTTAATGGGCTTTTTGGGCCTTGGGTCCACTTGAGGGTGGATACTTTTTTGGGCTTTTTCTATAATTGCACTTTTCGCTCTCAGTAGGCCTTACCTGATACACGACGTGTGCCCAAATTTGCAGGGAGATCGATCGATCGATGTGATATTTCCCTACCTAATGTCCTAATCACAGGTATCAGCTAAGCAACACTGAAAAAAGGACAAGAGAAAAGAGATGGATACATGATTGTCATGTCGGCATGCCACCCGGTTGAACTTGGTTCAATCTGTGCCGGTCATAAAACCGACATGACACCACCGGTATGACCGGTACGATCGACTTACACATTTTAAGTAAATGACATCATTTTAATGAATTTAATGAATAAAAAAATTAATTTATTATTCATTTTATGAATGTAATAGTTAAAAGTTGATGATATTTGTTGGATTATAACTAAATTGTCCACAAATATGTTTTATATATGATTAAATACATTGGATATTAATTGTTTTCACATTTTTTTAAACCGGCATGAACCGGCACAAACTGGTTATACCATCGGTCGTACCATTTCACTTGCCAAACCAGCACAACGCTATAAACCGGTTTGACAACCTTGGATGGATCCCTTAGCTTGCAACTTACACAATGTTTTCTTGTAAAAAAAAAAAAACTTACACAAAGCTCCCTTCACAAAGACAATGTACACAGTGGCAGTGGCGGAGGAACAGTGTTAGAGGGTGAGTTCCGGGACTCACCTTGATCAGAGAGAAAAATGGTTAAATTAGATATAATAATTAATTGATATAGAAAATTAGAGAGCATCTAATCGAGAATAGATGATAAGGAGGTGTTGTGTTTGAATTATGGGGACCTCGTTTGTTAAATGCACATGATATTTAAATTTGTGCAAACATCGTCACCACCAGATGACAATGAGGAATTTACCCACCATAGGCTTATGAGATGAAAGGGAAGCTAGGATGATTATATGTTCAATTTGAATTAACAAAATGAATTATAATCTATAAGTGGTATCTATGGAGTTATATATCTTCCTTAAAAGTCAATTTCGAGTAGAATTTGAGACCCCAACCCCTAACAAAACCATGAACAGGTCCTGACACACAAGTGTTTTAACCTTATTCTTATGTCACGAATAGGGTTAATTGCAAGGTTGGTCACTGAGATTACTAAAAACGTTCATGTTTAGTCACTAAAAATATTTAATTCCATTTGTGGTCACTAAAATTAGTAAAACATTTCAAGTTCGGTTACTCTCCGTCCAACTCCGTTAATTTTGGCTGATGTGGCAGTCAACTCTTAAAGTTGACCGTTAAATGTGTGACGTGACACTGAAAAAATAAATAAATAAATTAAATTTTTATATTTTAAATATTCCACCTAATTATTTTCATCACTAAAAAAGATAAAAATAAAAACCTAATTCTTCTACTACCTCCGCCGAACCCGCTTTCTCCTCCCCGACTCCACCCTCCGAACCCGCCGTCATCACGGCTGAAGGTCTGACATTCGGATCGGGGTTTTTGAGAGTTGTTACTAACAGTGATTGAGGGACATATATAGAGATCTCTATTACCATTTACAATTCATTAATCTTCAAATGGCAGAGATCTCTTTCCCCTAAACTGATCATGGATTTCCAGAGACATCTCAAGCTGCTAAATTGAGTAAGAAAACCCAGAAAGAGCTCAACTTGACTGTAAGGAACAAAGAATACTATATATATAGATGGAATCATAGTAATGGCACTGGGTTTTTGTATCTAGCTAGAGCTCAGCTCTGCTTTGGGCATTTTATATATCATCATTGATTCATCAAATCGTTTTTAACTAATTACACCTCGTCATATATGATTCTACAAGCTCGACCCAATTAAGCTCATGACAAACCTGATAGAAGAAGAAAAAAATGAAGAAGAAGAAAAAAATGAAGAAGAAGAAGAAGAAGAAAAAGTAAAGGGGAAAACTTATGCTCAACTCTGTCACAGAAGAGCAATCGATCAATTGATGATGATCATCTGTTAGATGCTGTCTTTGTCTCATCCTTCAATTCTCTCACAAACAAAATTCCATAAGTGAAAAGAACAAGAATAAATCAAGATGCCCATTAAAAAAAAAGAATAAATCAAGATTGGCCGCATGCCGTGCACAATCAATTAATCCGGTAACGAGATTAATTGATGCATCAATTGACGATTCATGAGCTTGCCCTGGCCAGAGGACGAGGAGAGAGAGAGACAGAGAGTTGGGTTGGATGATGATGTGGGTCAGGGATCGGCGGCGTGTTTGTGCCAACAGACGAGCATGGCGACGCAGCTGCGCATGATGTAGAATTTTGCCTTCTGTTCCTTCGCCAAGTTGGTGCATTTCCGCTCGATTGATGACGAACCCCCCTTTTCAGAGTAATCCTCGCTGGCCCCTTCGCCGCCGGCATACTTGAGGGAAGAGCTTTTTTTGACGAACATAGACTTGTTTGAGTAAGACGAGGACGAAGACGCTGATCTTCACGGAGAAGGATAACTACCTGACCGCATACATCAGGATCGGGTTCTTCAGCAGAGACCACGACACGAGATGGTCTTCATCCGTGATGGCGGCGGGTGGAGTCGGGGAGGAGAAAGCGAGTTCGGCGGAGGTAGTAGAAGAATTAGGTTTTTATTTTTTTAGTGATGATAATAATTAGATGGAATATTTAAAATATGAAATTTAATTTTTTATTATTTTTAAGTGCCACGTTACACATTTAACGGTCAACTTTCAGAGTTGACTGCCACATCAGCCAAAGTTAACTGAGTTAGACGGAGAATGACCGAACTTGAAATGTTTTACTAATTTTATTGACCACAAATGGAACTAAATATTTTGGATGACTAAACATGAACTTTTTTAGTAATCTAAGTGACCAACCTTGCAATTAACCCGTCTCGAATACTATGATTTTGCAAGGCCTTCTCATTCAATTGTGGAGCCATGTCATACACATGTTCCCTTTACATCTTGTAAAATGACCTCCAAGCTAGCTAGCCTAGAATGATGGAAACAAAGACTTTTTTTTTTGAAAGGTACCTTCATTCAATTAATTAACCAGAAAACCCATTGTGTCCCACAAAATCCTCTCTTAACAGAGATACAAGAAAATGAGGTGGGCTCTCGGCCCAAACCTCTTCACCCTCCCATACACAATCAATATGTGCCATAACATGAGCAGGCTTATTTCTCTCTCGGCCCATATAATGCCAAGCCACAGTCCCCAGCTCGCGGGCCCGTTCCTTCACTTCCCCACAGATGAGCCCAACTTCTGTCTCCCCAACCTCTTCCTTTTGCAGCTGCTGAACCACCCCCAAACAGTCCGAGACTATTTTTTCACCGCCGCGAGCCTGAAACCCCCCTCCTTCTCCCGAATCACCACCCCCCATCCAGTTCCCCTTCCTTCCATACATGCAGCATCAACCGAGATCGTCACGGGTGCATTAATCAGTGACTGCCATTGCCGATTTCCAGGTAGATCTGTCGCTGGCTGCTGCTCCTGCTTCTCCAGGTAATCTTTTAACCATTCATCTGCTCTCCTTGTAATCTCCCATTCCTCTAATTTCTTTTTATTCCACAGCTGGCAATTTCTCTGATCCCACATAAACCATAGAGCTACCAAGAACGCACCCAGTCGCTCATCAGATTCTGTCTCCTGGAGCTCGCAGAACCATTCTTCAGAGGTAAGAGCTTCCCCCCTCTCGATATAGGAATTCATAGGACTATACCTCCACACTCTTCGAGCCCAATCACAGTGTTGGAAAATGTGTTCTTGAGTCTCTCTTAGGTCACAGAATGGGCATCCCTCACCGCCCTTTTGCATTCTATCCCAAATTCGTGCCCCTGTAGGGATTATGTTCCTCAACCATCTCCATGCAAAAACCTATACCTTCGGCGGGATTTTAAGATTCCAGAGTCTTTTCCAGTTAACCGGGGTATAGGGCTCTCCTTCCTCTTCATTGTTTCGCTCTTCCCATAGTCTGTAGGCTGATTTAACAGAGTAGCGCCCTGATTTTTCCTTATCCCAGATAATTTTATCCTCCATAGGCTGTCGCGAAATGGGGATTTTCTGAATGTTCACCCTATCAATAGGGTTAAAATGACTCTGTAGCAAATCTGTGCGCCATTCCCTCGATTCATGGTTTATGAGCTCTGCCACTGATGTAGAACTACCCCATGGAGAGGTTGGCGAGGTGACTCGCAATGATTTACTCGCAGGCACCCATTTATCGAGCCATATATCTATCTTGTTGCTGTTTCCTACTCTCCATCTCATCCCCTTTTAACTAGGTCCTTGGCCGCCATTAATCCTCTCCACACCTAGCTAGGGTTTTTCCCCACTTCTGCCTCCAAAGGGCTTCGATTCTCAAAATATTTCGCTTTGAGCACCTTAGCCACCAAGGTGTCTGGGAATTGAACAATCCTCCATAGTTGCTTGCCCAATAGAGCTAGGTTAAAACTCTGTAGGTTTTTAAACCCCATTCTACCCCATTTCTTAGGTTTACAGAGCTCTTTCCAGTTTAGCCAGTGAGTTTTCCCTTCCTCTTCTTGCTGCCCCCACCAGAAATGAGCCACAACTCTTTTAACTTCCTTGAGAGTGCTCATAGGAATTTGGAAAACTGACATGGCATATGTCATTTGTGCCTGAGCTACAGACTTAAGAAGAATTTCCTTGCCTGCCACAGATAATAGTTTTCCTTTCCAGGCCTTTACCTTTGCTCTAACTCGATCCACCAAATAGCCAAATGTTTGCTTTTTTGATCTGCCAATAATAGTAGGTAATCCCAGATATCTTTGATGATGATCAACTCTCTTCATCAATAATCCAGCCAGCTCTACCTGCTTCTCATACCTCACATTTGGGCTAAAAGATAACTCTGACTTGGTTAGGTTAACTTGCTGACTTGAATCAGCCTCATATATGCTCAGAATTTCCTTCACCCGTTCACACTCAGTCTTTGTAGCCTTCATGAATAAAATGCTATCATCAGCAAATAATAGGTGGGAGATCTGAGGTGCATTCTTCTTGACTTCCAAACCTTCAATCTTCTTTTCCCTTTCAGCCTTTGTTATCAGAGCAGATAGGCCTTCAACCACAAATAAGAATAGGTAGGGAGATATTGGATCCCCCTGCCTCAACCTTCTGCTAGGAAAAAATTTCTCGGTTTGATGGCCATTAACAAGAGTGGAAAAAGATACCGTGGTGACACAAGTCATGACCATCCGAACCCATCTAGGATCAAATCCCAACTTCAGCATTATAGCCTCTAAGAAAGACCATTCAACCCTGTCGTAAGCTTTAGTGATGTCTAGCTTACCAGCCACGTAACCCTTATTTCCTGATTTCCTCGCTTTCATCGAGTGGAAACACTCAAAGGCTATCATCACATTGTCAGTGATTAGCCTGCCAGGCACAAATGCACTCTGGTTTGGTACTATTACCTCATTCAACACCCTTTTTAGTCTGTTAGCCAGAACCTTCGATAGCACTTTGTATAACACCTTACATAGACTAATAGGGCGAAAGTCAGCCGGGGTTTGGGGACTCTTTTTCTTAGGTATTAAGGCTACCAGGGTATGATTCAGATCTTGAGGGAAACTGCCCGCCTCCAGGTACCCTTGCAGCTCTGTTGTAATTTTCCCCCCCAGAATGTCCCAATTTTTCTGAAAAAATAGAGCAGGCATGCCATCAGCCCCCGGGGCTTTTAATGGTCCCATCACCTTCAAAGCTTCCCATATCTCCTCCTTCTCGAAAGGTTTTAGTAAGTCAGTATTCATACTTGTTGTGACCTTACATGGTACTGCATCAATCACTCTCCCTGAATTTGAACCAGAGTCAGAAGTATACAGTTTCTTGTAGAAATCCACTATGCACCTTGCTACATCTTCTTGGCCTGTCCAAATCCTCCCATCCACATCTTTAAGCTTTCTAATCATGTTCTTAGCTCTCCTCTCCGAAGCTCGTCTGTGAAAATATTTAGTATTCTTGTCTCCTAGCTTTAACCAATCATTTCTTGATCGTTGCTTCCATATTAGCTCCTCCTGAATTAGGATCTCTTCCAACTCACTTTCTAGAACTCTCCTCTGGACTACCATTTGGTCTCGCTGTTTTGGTGTTTGTCTCTTGCCGGGTTCTGGGTTTCATTGGCCGCAAGTGGGAGCAGCGACTTCAGTTTGCTCAAAAGTGTTTCTAGAGGACCTTCATCCAAGCCTGTGGAATGATCTTCTCGGAGTTCACCTCCATCTTGCTGAGGTATAATCCTCCTCTCCCTCCCTCTTTTGATTCCTTTGTTAAATTAGTTTAATTTATATTATTGTGTTGATTTGAATGATTGTTTTGTAATTTGGATTCTCATTTTGGGTTCAGCACCACCCTACTGTGCTGTGGAGCAAGAAACGAATCAAAGAGCACATCTCAGTAGCTTCTTGGGCCTCAATTGCGATTATGATAATCATGTCATTGGGCAATTATTTTGATGGACACACTCCGAAAACCAAGAAGGATGTTACACAGGAAAGTGTGTGGGGGGGGGGGGGGGGGGAACAATCTCACTCAGATGCCTCCACTCTGGATCAAAGGTGTTTCTTCCGGTGTCACAACCAAAGGCCAAACGTGGAAAAAAACCAAAGCACTGAGCAGTGATATATTGTGGGGGTATTGCCGACGCACGCGTTTTTTAAGTGAATAGTTTATGCCAATTGCCACCCATCCAAATAATGTTTGCTTTTCGGGTTGCTTGCTACCACCACTTTTAATGTTATGACGCTGAGCTTTGTATTTAAAAGTCCCTTCTCTTGAACAATGGGAGTCGTGTTGATGTTATTTTGCTGAGGTGTACGTTTGTGTTGGAACAATTGAACTCTTCCTTCCACTAATTAATAAATGGTTACAATGTGGCAAATTGAATGTCGTAAAGCCAAGTAAATAGTTGGGTCCTCTCTATTATCTTGCTCATCTTGTTATCAAAATCCTTGGGCTAAATTGAAACAATAATGATAAAACATTAAAAGTTTAGGATACGTCGATTTCGTTAAAAGTTTAGGATTTTTAATAATTATATTATCCTAAAAGAAATAGGATCTTTCAATTTTTACCGGCCTAAACGCATACAACTATTACCACTACACTTTTTTATCATTTTATAATTTTGATTGTTTTACCCCCACTGCTTGGCGTAGTGGCGTGTCTGAAAAGACAACAATCTGTCTAACGGTTGGAAAAGGAAAGAAAAAAGCAAAACTAGCGGGGGAAGAGGAGAGGAAAAAAAAACGCAAGGTAGGTAGGGAAAATACTCACTACACACTTTATTCTACACCCTCTTCAATTCACCCGGAGAAAT